CAGAGGTGTCATTATCTCAGCCATCCATGAAACAAGTTTTGGGTTTGAGAATATTCTGGATTTTATCAGTCTGGATAAGAAAGATTCAACCTGTATTGTTCTTCATAGTTGTACTTTAGCAGTGTGGGATGGGGATAGTTGTTTTTCCCCCACCAGCACTCAAACTGCAAAAACCGTGTCCACTGAAAGCTTCTATCAGTGTAATGTGTTTGTGTAGCTGTGATAGACAACCACAGGACAACACCTATGTCATGAATGATTATAGGTAGATGAAATCCAGAAGCTTGGAGCTGGCAGCAATGGATGAGGAGACAGAGAAGTGGATGAATAAGAATGTGCTGCAAAAAAGGCTGGGAGTAGAGAAGACAATACTCAGCGGAGGAGACAAATGACAGTGAAAGAACATGATAGTCTTGCACATTACAGGGTTATAGTACTTTGATACCACTGGGGCTAGTTATACAGAACATATATCTACCCTTCTTGAAACAGCTTCATGGGCTACCAGTCTGCTTCTAGGCAAAATTCAAAGTGCTAGTTAAGACTTTAAAAGCTATATGGAGCTTGGGTCCAATATATCTGAATGACTGCATCTACCTGTATGAGCCTACCAAGCTTTAAGATCTTCAGAGGAAGGCTTTCTCTTTTCCACTATCACAGGAACATTTGGTGAGGACACTTGTGAGAGCTTTCTTGATGGCAGTTCCCAAGTTTTGGAATGTCCTCCAATGGGAGATTCAATTAGTCCCCTTTCCTCTCCTTCTTCCAACAGGGAAAGAACTTCTTATTAAGGTGTGCCTTTGGATTATAAGTCATGTGGCAGAAAGTGCTTTTAATGGGGCTTTTATCTTTTTATTATGTTTAAATTGTTAAAAACTTTGTGTTTTTAACAGAATTGTTGTTTAATTGGGTTTTTAAAAAACTTTTGTACAAATCATTTTTAGCTGTACTCTGCTTTTTAAACTAGAAATAAGCCAGTTTGGGTGCTGAGCAAGGAGAAAGGTGGGATATTAATTAATTAATTGATTAATTGATTAATTAATATAAAGTGTTGTTGTTGTTGTATGTCTTCAAATCATTTCCAACTTATGGTGATCCTAAAGCAAACCTAACATTCGGTTTTCTTGGCAATATTTGTTCAGAGGAGGTTTGCCATTGCCTTCCCCTGAGGCTGAGAGCATGTGACTCACCCAAGGTCACCCATTGGGTTTCATGGCCAAGTGAGGAATTGAACCCTGGTCTCCAGAGTTGTAGTCCAACATTCAAACCACTATGCCACACTGGTGATGTTAAAGTGCTATAATTGTATAGCATGGAAAAAAAATTGACAGCAAGTATAGGATGTACAGTTTTCTCTCCATATTTGCAGGGGTTAGGGGAATGAGACCCCCCCC